ACTATTGAAAAAAAAGACCGTACCCTTTTATGTAATGATGTTTACTTTGAATTTGTATTAGTTCACACAAACACTCCATCCATGCTTTTGTTCCGGCCCTCCGGTCCAGTTTAAGAACCCATTGTGGTCCTGGAGTCAAAAAGTTTGCCCACCCCTGGGTTAAGATCATCTTTCCTAGGTGCTTTGAGGCTCAGGTAAGATTGGAGTTCAGTAAAGGACTCAAGCACAGCTCAGTTGACTCCCAAGTGAGCAAGTTTGGGAATGATCAGGACTGAAGACTTTAAGGCAGTGGTTCTCAACCTTCCTAATGCCACGACCCTTTAATACAGTTCCTCATGTTGTGGTGACCCCCAACCATTAAATTATTTTCATTGCTACTTCATAACTGTAATTTTGCTACTGTTATGAATCATAATGTAAATATCTGATATGCAGGATGTATTTTCATTGTTACAAATTGAACATAATTAAAGCATAGTGATCAATCACAAAAACAATATGTAATTATATATGTGTTTTCTGATGGTCTTAGGCGACCCGTATGAAAGGGTTGTTCGACCCCCAAAGGGGTCACGACCCACAGGTTGAGAGCTGCTGCTTTAAGGGAAGATGGGGCCGAATCATTTTGAAGGCACTTTCATACACACTTTACTCTGCCCCAAAGGCAAGTAAGATATTAACCTCAAAGGCAACTTAGGGTATAGGGGTAAGGGTTTTGCTGCTAATAAAAGGCTTTACTAGATGGAGATAAACTTGACTATGGTGCTATGTGAATCACATCTGTGTTTCTGCTTCTCTTACTTTGTCTTTTCTCCACCCCTACCTACTGCCGGGCCCGCCCACTTCCCCAGCCAAGGAGAATAGTGCATCCGATTTTCCCCACTCACCTGCTGACTTGCACTGCTCTAGAAACAGTGGAAGGAGGCCTTTGCCTTCAGAGCAAGTTAAAGTACCCCTGACTGTTCTGCAGAAGCCCCTTCCTGCCCCCCAGGTTAGGACAGGACTCGGTTCTCAGGAGGTAGTATGTCCTCCAACTTAGAAAGCATTCACCAGCACACAGGCTCAACCATGGAGCTGTGCTGCTAGGCTCGGCACTAAACACCTCTGGCCAGACAGCAGGATATCCCTGGGGCTGGCACCGAACCGAGCTTTCAGCAGGGGGTCAGCAAAAGGTAGCTTCACTCGTTTGTGCCTGGTCTTCTGCTTAATAGGAGGTGATGCCTTGTCCTCAGTGAGGTTTGTTCTGAGTCAGAGCTAAGGAGACACTCCCACAAGCTGTGGCTGCAAATAGCTTGACCTTCTGCTTTCCTGGCCCCAGCCATCGAACTACTGGGCTCCTACTTCGTCAAGATGCTCTGAAGTCCTGGGATGGGATTTTCTCTCCCAAGAAATTCAGTTCGGTAGTGGAAGTAGCATTCTGGTTCCGAAGCAAGGGGAGCAAAGACCTCTGAGTACTATTATGCATGGTGCCCTGGGGCTGCAGACCAAGGCGCAGGTCTGGGTCCGGCCGCTCCTAAGTGTGTGGTCAGGCCGCTAGGCCGCTCTGGGGTCTCATTTAGGAAAGAATGGGACAACAGCTGACCTGACGTGGCCCTCCCAGCTAAGTGCAATCAGATGCAGAGTCCCATTGTGAGCCTGCCGCGTGGGTAGGGCGGGTCTGTTCCCACTCCAGGAAACGAGCAGCTGGGTCAGCTTTGTGCTGAGTCAGGGCATTGAGGCGTCTCAGGCCCAGGCCTGGCTCTAGCCTCGCCAACCCTGCCTGGGCCAGGATCACTACCTTGACCCAACCAAGGCTGCACGTCTAAACTCAGCAAGGGTCCTTGCATGCTTGGGATCACTTCCCAAAGGCTGGGCTTCTTGGTGAGGCAGGGACAGACTGACGGTGGACTCATTCCCAACAAAATGGCCCCTTGCCCTGACAAATAAAAAAAATATATAGCCCATTCTAGCCAGTTTGGCTCAGTGGATACAACATCCGCTCTTGGTCTGAAGGGTCGCGGGTTCAATTCCCGGTCAAGGACACGTACCTCAGTTGCAGGCTGGAGTCCGCCCCGGGGTGCGTGCCGGAGAGAACGAATAGTCTCTCACATTGATGTTTCCCTCTCTGCCTCTCCCCCTCCTTCTCTAAAAAATCAAAGGAAAAATGTCCCAGGTTGAGGATTAACAAATATATATATTTCCCCCGTTTTGGCAGTGCTGATATGAGAAATGCAGAATTGCTGCCTTTGGGGTCTTTTCATCCAGAAGGCAAAGACTTGTGTTTGGTGGGAGAGCTCCCTACGGGAAAGCTATGTTCCTTTTGCTGTGCTGCTGTGAGAAACGTGAGGCTAAGGCAACCTTAGAACCCTGGGCAGCCAAAGCTGACAAAGGATAGATGGCGGGATGGCCGGGCCTGGCTTAGCAGGCTTTGTAGGGCGATGGGATAAAGCCTGACCTACAGCTCGTGAGCCTTCCAACAGACAGTTCACAGGAATGAATGCATTAGGATCGACCCGCTTTCATGTCACAGGATGAGGCTGAGTAGTGAGTTACTCACTTGAGGGACAAGGATCACACAGCTGCTCAGTGGCTAAGCTGTGACCACAGCCCAAATCTGCCACCCTGGGCAGGGCCTTCACCCCTGTGGATAGGATGCTCAGGGCCGCATTAATAGCACGCATTAAGAGACGGAAGTGAACTGTCATCAGCTTTAATAGACTCGGGGTGGGGGTGAGGGGGGGTGTCTGAGGGCCCCAGCTGCTGTAGTCCAAAGTGGATAGTTCTCTGGGACGAGTTCCTGCCTCTCCCTCCAGAGGCACCAGCAGGCCCAGAAGGACTGCACAGTGGCTTTATGGCTGTACAACGCATTAGCAGAGATCCGCTTCAGGAAGCCTGGACAAGGCCAACAGATTGCTCCTGGCCGGCCGGAAAGACGTGGGCCCCTCGCTCAGCCTGAGGCAACCGGAGCCATTGACTCCGTGATGCTTAATCTTGGGAGTAGGGGTGGCAAAGACCACTTTAGAGAAGACATAAAAGTTATAGACAACCGCCCTGACCGGTTTGGCTCAGTGGATAGAGCGTCGGCCTGCGGACTCAAGGGTCCCGGGTTCGATTCCAGTCAAGGGCATGTACCTTGGTTGCGGGCACATCCCCAGTGGGGAGTGTGTAGGAGACAGCTGACCAATGTTTCTAACTCCCTATCCCTCTCCCTTCCTCTCTGTAAAAAATCAATAAAATATATTAAAAAAAAAAGTTATAGACAACCTTGTCCCACTTCAAAAACACATATGTGCCCCAACTTTCGCATACAATTTCCGGGAGTGCACAGGTTTAAAAAGGCAGGTAAGGTCTCTTCATTAGTGCTTTCACTCGCCACTGTCTGTCCAGTGAAAAGAAAACCCAGCCAGGCTGCCTCACAGGCTCCCCCTCCCTCTCCTGCCGGCCTCTGTTTAGCCAGCCTCGAGGGCCTGCATTTGCAGGGCAGACAGCCTCCTCCTCACGCCTGGTGGACAGTGCAGCCTTCCATTTATTTCTTCGCATTGGATCGGACGGTCATCATGTCTTCCAGGAGCCTCCCAGCCTTCCGGGGAACAGGCAAATCCAGCGCCCCTCCAGGACCTCATAGGCACCCACACTCTTCCACAATCATGTCCTTATGATGGTCTAGAAGGACTCTGCCATTGTCCACATACAGCATGCTCAAGGGCCTGGTCTTCACGGGGGCACAGCAGGTGGAAGGGACGCGGTGGGGCTGGTACCGTTTCAGCAGACTCTGAAAGGGAGGAGAGGGGTCAGTTCAACATCCGGGTCAGAATAGGTCATTCCTGGGTAAAGGGTGAAAAGGATACTGAGAGTCTAGATCAGTGACTGGGTGCAAAAATAGAAGGAAACTGTTTTCATAAAGGAATCAGCATGCCAATACATCACCAACTCTAACTTCTAATATCACTTCTGCTTTCTTTTTTTTTTAAATATATTTTATTGATTTTTTACAGAGAGGAAGGGAGAGAGATAGTCAGAAACATAAATGAGAGAGAAACATCGATCAGCTGCCTCCTGCACATCCCCTACTGGGGATGTGCCTGCAACCCAGGTACATGCCCTTGACCAGAATCGAACCTGGGACCCCTCAGTCCACAGGCCAACGCTCTATCCACTGAGCCAAACCGGTTTTGGCACTTCTGCTTTCTTAAAGCATCTTTTAAACAGAAGATTCTAAAAGCTGTATCTGGGTAGAACAGTAGCCAACTTACATGTTCTCCTATTATTATAGTCTAGAGCAGAGGTTCTCAACCTTCCTAATGCCGCGACCCTTTAATACATACAGTTCCTCATGTTGTAGTGACCCCCAATTCCATTGTTACAAATTGAACATAATTAAAGCATAGTGATTAATCACAAAACAACATGTAATTATATATGTGTTTTCCGATGGTCTTAGGCGACCCCTGTGAAAGGGTCGTTCGACCCCCAAAGGGGTCGCAACTCACAGGGTGAGAACCACTGGTCTAGAGTGAATACCAGTTTATAAAATATTCCAAGAAACTCCTGGTTTAGTTCCAAAAATATGAGGCAGAAGAGAGTCATGTGGAAATTCTTGTGGGATTTGCTTTGTTGCCCAGAGAAGGGCAAACAGAGTCAATGGGAGAACAGGTAACAACTCCCTGGCATTCTGGAACTGGACCCTGGCCCTGTGGTCCAGCATCATCTTCTCAGGTCAGAGCTGGCAACTGGGACTATCTGGGTCTCTGTGGTTCCCTCTGGTCACGCTGCAGGTGGGTTGGTGGAGTGAAGTGGGCCTGGGAGAGGCTCGTGAGGGCCTTTGCCAGGGAGGGGTCCTCTGGGGCTGGCCCCCACCAGTGCCTCCCTTGCAGGAGCTCAGCTCACATGCTCCCCAGAGCCTCTGAACCCTGCCTGAGGCTGGACATGGAGGATGCACTCTAGGGCAGCGGTCCATGGTCCACTGATGGTCTGTGAGGTCCGAAAGGTTGGCGACCACTGCTCAGTCTAGGCTTCTTGGAGTAAATAGAAACACATTGTTCCCAGGTGACCGTTGAGAGCAGGGCAGGGCTACCTAAATATCAGGGTCACTATATTAGCCTCTATTCTCTCTTTTTTCTTTTTTTTAATCCTCACCTAATTTATAGAGGTGAAGCGGCCCTGACGGAGGATGGAACCCGAAACCTGGGTATGTGCCTTGACCGGAAATTGAACCCACACCCTTTTGGTGTATGGGACCATGCTCTCTCCAGTTGAGCCACCCAGCCAATAGCCTCTATTCTCTGCTTTCTCCATCTCATTCTCCTGCCATTCCTCTCCCTCTACCACCTTCTAGGACTTGGGCTGATCAATGACACTGGTGGTAGGCAGCCTATGGCCTTATCTAACTTCTGCAAAATGGGTATCCAGCTCCTATTTTAGGCAGCAAAACTACAGTGGCTGGGACATTATTATCTCAACGATGGCCCCGTAAATGTGGCCCCCATTTCATCAGTGAATCACAGACTTCTAGTAATGATGACACAATATCAAACATGCCTATTATCGGTCAACTACTCTACATGCAGTATACATATCACCTCATTTAACACTATAACACCCCTATAAAATATCCCCATTTTTACAGGTGGGGAAACGAAGCTCAGAGAGAGGAAGCCACTTGATCAATATTACACAGCTAATAAATAGGAATCAAACCCAGGCCTCTCTATTTCAAAATGCCAGATTCTGAACTTCCTTTCCTAGAATGTCAGGGTTGGGGAGGAGTTGAAACCCTCTAGTACAGGGGTGGGCAAACTTTTTGACTCGAGGGCCACAATGGGTTCTTAAACTGGACCGGAGGACCGGAACAAAAGCATGGATGGAGTGTTTGTGTGAACTAATACATGTTAACACTGCTGCTGGTGAAAGAGCGGAGGGAAGAGCAAGAGAACCCTCTGCTCTTTTGGCTCCACGGGTCGGATAGAACAGCCAAACGGGCCGGATCCGGCCAGTGGGCCATAGTTTGCCCACGGCTGCTCTAGTGTGTACCCTCCAACCCTAATTTTATGAAAGACAAGGGGAAAGTCCTAGGAAAGCAATGACTCCATCCATGTAGGCTTTCTGAGGATGTTGAGGGTGGTCATCTCCATAATCCTTAGGACCTGGCACAGGGTAGGTGCTTGAATAACTGTGCAGGGATGAATAAACACAGCCATTTAATAGCAGCGCTGGAGTGTTGTGCCCCGGATCTGGCAGTACGGCCCCTTCCCCACAGACTGCCTGCCCTCCACCCCCCATGCCCTGGCATCATACCTGGATGTATGCGTGGTTGGTGGGATGGAACTCCTCCCCGACAGGGTTGGGACACTCGCCCTCACAGCGATAGGCATTGTACTGCTTGGGGTAGATGATCCAGGCGCCCCATCCAATCAGGTTGAAGTCCACCTGGAACTTGACCTTCCGACACAGTTGGCTTCTGTCCGGCAAGTGATGTCTCGGGTGCCTCCTGCCCTTTTCCTGGAAGAGCTGTCCCTCCTGGGCCCGCCAGGAGCTCTCAGCTTCCCACAGCAAGGTGGAGCCACCCAGCCTCCTCTGCTCAGGAGGGAGGTTGGAGTAGAGCAGGAGGAGCACATTGGCGACAGGCGGTGTGGGAGGCCGCGGCCAGCATTCTCTGGCCAAACTGGACATCTGCTCCCCCAGCTTCCCAGGGTGCTTCAGCCACTTGGAGAGAGGCCTGGTCACCTCCAGGACCATGCTGCCAGCAGAAAAGGTAACCTGGGACAGAGAAACAGTCAATAGTTCCAGCCGAAGACGTTCTGGGCAGCCGGCTGGGTCCCGATCGGCTTCCAGCTTTGGCTGGTGGAAAATCTCGATGGAGAGCGGGACGCCAGGGGGAAGGTCCGCCGGGCTGGCCAGCTGCAGCCGGAGCTCGGCCCACTCCAGGTCCTCCTTTTGGCTCAGGAAGGAGAAGTCAAAAGCAAAGGTCCAGTTCTGCCCATCCACCTCCACATCTGAGCGGGAAACAGGAAGGAGGCAGCGTCAGCGGGGACCTCCCGCAGGGTAACAACCATAGCTCAAGCCTGAGCTCTCCCCTCATACGCAGCACTGCTCTTAATCCTCACCTTGACCCTGTGAGATGGGCATGTTATTGAACCCATTTTAGAGACGAGGAAAATTGAGACCCAGAGAAGTTAAACTATCTGCCCAAGGTGTCATTCGTGGAAAGCGGCAGAGCCGAGAATAAACCTGGGTTTGCCTAACTGAAAGCCCAAACTCCAAATCACTGTTCTGCCACTCCCCCTGACACACTCCAAAGTCAGACAACTGGTAACAATGGGATGAGTTAGTTTCCACTCCCTTCTACAGAGAGAGAGAGAGAGGGAATATCTAAGGCTGAGCTTTAGATCTAAACCCTGAGCTTCCTGACCGAAACCCTGGGCTTCCAACTTGCCCAGTGACCCTGGAGCAATTCACTTCCCAGGCCTCGTTTTCTGGCTGGGAAGGGCGGCCTGTCGCACAGGCACCGTGAAGTCGGTAAGGATATCAGGGAAAGGCTCGGAGCTCTCGGGGAGGCACAGGCAACAGAAACCAAAGGCTGGCTGCCCGCTTCCTGGCCAGTTCCTCCAGATGGAGGCAGAGACTTCAGGAGGTTTTGGCAACCTTACAAATAGGCTTCTCAAGGCATTCCTAGCCTGACTTTGTGCTGTCCTTGCACTTTCCACCCAGCGGTTTCTCCTCTCTACCTGCAGGGCACTCTCTCTCCTGCCCCAGTTCATCCACAGGCCCAGGGCAGACACTGCCAGCACACACAGCCCTGTC